AGTTACGTCAGGAACCTTTGCAATACTCTACAGCGTACAATGGGGAGCGGAAAAATCCAATCGCTGGCTACTTTCCGTCGGAGTGTCAATACTCCAGGATATATTGCTGACTGGACCAATTATCATCATAGTCAACACATCTATCATGTCTTTAATAAAAAGGAAACCAACTGAGGAAGACGAAATCGAAAAGAAGACCCAAAAAGCAAACTTAGTGCACGTTGTTCAAGAAGATGAACTTGCGGCTTGCCACAAGCCACCCGACGAAGAACTTCTGAAAACACGAAACTTGAAACTTCAAGTGAAAAAGCTGCGGCGATTCTTTAAATATTTGGTAATCTACGTTGTCTATGTCCTCCTGCTAGTGATTGTATGCTATGCAGACCGTAAGCCTTCAAGTTACTTACAGACAAAGACGCTAAAGGACACCTTTAGTTCATTCTACCAGGTAATATCACTGCTGGACTAGCCTGTATTATTATTGTTATCGTTGATGATGCTATTATTGTTGCTTCTGTTTTATACCGGGACACATGCCCAAATTTAATGGCGTTATTCACCGCTCGTCTTTCACAAAACGATCAAAATTATTTATAGGGTGTCCTTCTTTGTTAAGAACACCAATTCCAATCGAGGGAGAGGCGTTGCTCTATTAGTTATCCTATTTAACTCTGGACCGAAACGAGAGAGCTTACACCCTAGCGTCTGTCCTTTTTGGGAACGGACATTGATTCTCGCAGTTCCTCTCAATCCGGGACTGTACAAAAGAGATGTTAAGAGTACCAGACCGCGTCACTGCATGCTAAAAGCTCTGTTAGTATGTGACAGCAAGCTCCCTACTAAGATATAGACTTCACCCATTGAATCCAAAAAGGCACATCTAGTTCTTAATCTCATTTTCTTTTGCTTTATGAAGAAGCTATGGAATTTCCTTGGAAGATCAAATAAATTTTCCACAATAAAAGCCAATCGTCTCACCTTGTTTAGGTAAAGGATGCAAGATCTTTTTGGACCTGGTTTGAAGAAGAACTAGTTCCAGGCCTTTATGACAGTGAAAAGTCCCTCAGTGGTAATGGGACCGGAATGATAAGTGGCAAGATTGGTTTTATTGTGGGCCTCCCAAAGATACGACAGATACGCATTAAGTCAGGTCAGGGTTAA